ATTTCCTTGTTTACCCTGCAATCACAAGTAATATATTTGATTAAAAATGTTTTTTTTTCCCCCTTTTACTTAGAAGAACTCTTGCTAGGGAGTTCCAATTACTCTGAAGTTTTGAGGAATGGACTAAATGCTCTCCATCTCCAGCAAAAAAAAATCTCAATTCCCCATCAAATTTCATATCCCAGTATTCTTTACAATGGAGCCATGACAGTTAAAGTGGCATCAAACTGTTATAATTGTACAGTGTGAATACATACTGGGCAGCAATCATGTTTATAACAATACCGATTCTTTTTACTTATACAAATTCATGCTGATTCTTGCATTTCCTTCCTAGTGATAACAATACATGAATGTTTCGATGTTTTATTTGACCAAGGAACACTTGGGCTCAGCTGGCTACTTGATCTACTGCTTTGTTTAGGATGATATGTAATAGCAATAAAGAGCACCATATGAGCATTATATTTTGACGCAAACTAGACAATGTAGCATATAATGAAATTCTTCTCTTTGAAATCACTGGGGCTAAAAACAGGCCAGACTCCTGACTTGCTGCCATAAAGAAAAAAGAAGCCACCTGTGGGGTTAGCAATAGGACCATACACTGATCAATCTCCCTTCTCTCCCAAACAGGGAAGTTAATGGCAATTAATAGGAGTCACCACTTCTATTCATGGTTGGATATAGCTGCCATCTCCCTGGGAATGTACTTCTTAGTTGGGCAGGTACAGGACTAAAGGGTTTTTTTTGTTTGTTTTTTAAAGCAGATTTCACAAAAGGACAAATCTATCAGGTAGCCCCACAGTGTGAGGAGGGGACTCTTAACATAAAGCATCATTTACTTCTTACTTCTACCCTGAATCCTGTTAGTTTCCTCATAGGAATCATTGCTTACCAACAATACAACAATTCACTTACAAATATGTCTTAATGCACTCCAGCTATATCTGTTACTTCATGAAAGTTGCAACATTAAAATACTGCTAAAAACTGAGTGTTATCAACCACAATAAACATAGCAAAAGCTTCTGCATGCTCATACTTCCATGTTTCCATTCCAATGCCTAGTGTTTGATACATGTCTGTAATACTCCTCGAATTACCAAATTTTTTCCAAGTAATTACTAAGAAGGAGCTCTTCAGCAATGGAATAAGGAACCCCCAGTGATGCAATGGGTCAAATCCTTGTGCTGGCAGGACTGCTGACCAAAAGGTCAGCTATTTGGAGCAGGGTAAGCTCCTGTCTATCAGCTCCAGCTGACCTTGTGAGGATATGAAAGAAGCATCCCATAGGTTGGTAAAACATCTGGATGTCCGCTGGACAACATCCTTGCAGATGGCTAATTCTCTCACACCGGAAGTGACTTGCAGTTTTTTATGTTGCTCCTGACACGAAAAAAAACCCACACACACAATGGAATAGACTACCTCTTCTTCATTAAAGGTTTTTAAACACAAGTTGAGTGCCCATTCTTCACAGTTATTTAAATAGTGGTTTTTTAAGTTGCAAGAGATGATCCATGGATTACTTCAAATTCAAGGTTTCTATGATGCTAACTGTACTTGTTTAGCTTTAACTGCACATTTGGGGTTCCCAGCTGTAGGCCAAATGGAAGAAAATACCTGGATCTAGATCTTGGGTTAACCAATAAGTCAAGAGAAGGGAACAACAGTTCCTTGCAGCACTAGCTGCTACTTGGCCACCAATTTGTGCATTGAACCAGTAAGGAAGGGCTGTTACTTTCTGTACACTCCTCCCTGAAACATAGATCCAGGCCATTCAGGCAGCAATGAAGAACAAATGGACCTTTGCATCTTACACTCCTGGAAGATGCTGGGTTTTGCACATAGGCTTTAGAGCGACTGGGATTCCTTCTGGTTACAAAACCAGGGAGGATTTCCATTTAGACTATCTTTAGTCCCAGTCTTGGGGAAAAAGTGATGCAAAAATAAAGTCATTGATTGAGATTTTGCACGCAGTTCCAAGCATTACCCTGCCACAAGTCAGCACCCAATAAGAATGACAGCTGCTCCTCAGAATGTCTATAGTGCCTTGCCTTCAGGTTGGGGAGCAGTCAGGCGCTCCAGGGAACTGCCTTCACATTCAGTCCTTTGGTCTCTTGAAGGAAGGATGTGATGGTGGGTGCACAATTCAGTCATCAGGAAGACCTCCCTACTTTTAAATCGCAATTCGCAGAATCCCAACTAGCTTTGTGACCAACTAAGACAGTGGTTTTCAACCTGTGGGTCCCCCAATGTTTTGACCTTCAACTCCTAGAAATCCTAACAGCTGGTAAACTGGCTGGGATTTCTGGGAGTTTTAGGCCAAAACACCTGGAGACCCACAGGTTGAGAACCACTGAATTAAGGGATTAAGGGAGTTATGAAGAGAAAGGGGAGTGGGGGCATTTCCAAGCTTTGGCACAAGACAATGACTCAAGTGCCTGCCATGAGAAGGCTGTTGAGCACTCAGGTTGACAAAGTGAAAATGAGAGAAAGCACCTGTGCTTTAAATTGTTGAGTGTTCTTGTGTATCTTCAAGTTCTTTTGGACTTCTGGTGACCTTAAAGAGACTCTAGCATGTGGTTTCTGGAGCTGAGAGTGTATGGCTCACCCAAAGTTTTTCCATGACTAAGCAGGGAATCAAGCTTTGATCTCCATAGGGTTGCAATTTTTTTGGGCAGTATGGCTATGTTCTGGTAGCATTCTCTCCTGATTTTTTGCCTGCATCTGTGGCAAGCATTGGCATAGATTTGCCCAGAGTTTAAAAAAAACTCTGCGCAACCCAGTGATTCTGGCCATGATAGCCTTTGACAACACATTGATCTCCATAGTCATAGACCAACTCTCAAACCACTACACAACACCGGCTAAGTAGAAGAAGATTCAGTAGTTGTCACACAACAGGTAACAATCAGGGATCTGCTGAAATTCTTGTTCCTACAGAAATTCAAAATCCAAAATTTAATGTGTTGTGGAAGCCTTTCATGGCCAGCATCACTGGGTTGCTATGAGTTTTCTGGGCTGTATGGCCATGTTCCAGAAGTATTCTTTCCTGACATTTTGCCCACATCTAAGGCAGGAATCCTCAGAGATTGAGGGGACTGTTAGAAACTAAATAAGTGAGATTTACTTAGTTTCTCCAGACAAGAATTAATCAGGGCCAGCTAACACCTCCCAACAAAGGATTCCCTCAGGCAGTAACCAGCCAGGCCTTCAAACTGCAGGTCACTGAATGCTAATCAAGGTGGCAAATTGCAACATTCACACATACCTCTAGCAGATAAACGTTCTTTCTCCCAACCTGGACATTCCACAGGTATATACATGACACTTACTTAGTTCCCAACAGACCCCTCAACCTCTGGGGATACCTGCCATAGATGTGGGTGAAACATTAGGAAATAATGCTTCTGGAACATGGTCATACAGTCTGGAAAACTCACAGCAACCCAGTGAGGTTTGGTTCCAGGACCCACAGTGGATACTGTGGATATTCCAAGTCCCACGATACACAGTGATCTAGTAAAATGACATCATTTTTTTAAAAAAAAAATTGTCAAAATGGAGGGGGGGGTTGGATTTTGAGGGGATAGCGTGTTCCCAAGGGTCCTTGAGCCAGACTTCTATGAGTGCCAAGATACCACTATATTTTGAATGTGTAGAAGTGGGCATTTCAGCAGGTGTTCCTTGTTCTCTGGTTGTGTGACAAGCAACTTGTCCTCAGTGTATTGTTGAAGGCTTTCATAGCTGGAATCACTGGGTTGTTGGAGCCCCCAGTGGCGCAGTGGGTTAAACCCCTGTGCTGGCAGGACTGAAGACCGACAGGTCGCAGGTTCAAATCCGGGGAGAGGCGGATGAGCTCCCTCTATCAACTCCAGCTCCTCATGCGGGGACATGAGAGAAGCCTCCCACAAGGATGATAAAAAAACATCAAATCATCCAGGCGTCCCCTGGGCAACATCCTTGCAGACGGCCAATTCTCTCACACCAGGAGTAACTTGCAGTTTCTCAAGTCGCTCCTGACACGACCAAAAAAACTGGGTTGTTGTAGGTTTTTTGGGCTATATGGTCATGTTCTAGAAGTATTCCCTCCTGATGTTTCATCTGCATCTATGGCAAGCATAGATGCAGGTGAAACGTCAGGCGAGAATGCTTCTAGAACATATAGCCCAAAAAACCTACAACAACCCAACTTGTCCTCAATTTCCCTCTCCTACTCAACCAGGGTGAGTGCAGGACGACCCAGGAGAGAAGGATCCAACTACTCACTCACTTGAATGGTGAGTAGTGGAATGTGTAAATGCAGAATCCATGGATACTGATACTATACAGGAGCTGGCAACCCAACTGAACCCAGTGCCCAATCCTGGCCTGTGATGGAAGTGTCACCCAATCTATCACCCATTCCCCAATTTATAGAGCAGGCATGGGCAAAGTTGGGCCCTCCAGGTGTTATGGACTTCAACTCCCACCATTCCTAACAGCCTCAGGCCCTTTCCTTTTCCCCCTCAGGCGCTTAAGGCTGGAGGGCCCAACTTTGCCCATGCCTGCTGTAGAAAAACTTGTCTAGGATGTGCAAGCCAAGATCCTTTGCCGGAGGCTGAGGGATGGAGCCTCTCACCTCTTCCTTTGTCGGATTGGAAACAGTTAATGTCAAATCCGTGTCGCGCCTTCCCAGACATGCTTTGCTTAATCCCTTTCGGACTTATTGTTCTCTGCGGCGACTCGACCTGGACCCTTCCCTCCCTTTCCCTCATCTCCCCCCCCCTCCTTCTCTCTCCGAACCAGACCTCCGTTACTTCAGCCACTCCAAGAGTTTGGGGCAACTCCCTGGCTCTCTCTGTGTCTCTCTACCTGACCTCCCCCTGGTGTTAAATTGATTGACACCCCGCGGAGCCACTGGTGCTGAGGTCCAAAGAGCCCTGTGGGGGCGGAGACTCGACTCAATGAAAGGGAGAAGGGGCGGGGCCGAGGATGAGGGGCCAATTGGAGGCGGGGATGGATGCGGAGAGGGGAGGAGAAGGAGAGAGCCGGGACGAGACGCGCTTGCAAGTCAAGAGCCCATCAGAGCGCAATGAGAAGCGAGGAAAGTTTCAGCCGGGCTCTGGCTTGCTTGGAGGCGCGCGCGCGCGCGCGGGCGGGTGTCTGTGTTTGGGGGTCGCGCGCGGGCGGGCGGGCGAGCAGGAGGCTGTGGCTCCTTCAGCGGCTTCTTCTCGTCTTTCTCCTCCTCCCTCTTCTTCTTCCTTCTTCTCCCCTCAGAGCCGAGCAGCTGAGCCATCTGAAAGGGGCTCTTCCTTCATAAAGTGCAGGCGGAGGATGAAGCGCTGCGCCCAAGTCGCTTGAGGAGAACGAAGAACTTTGGGATTACAAAGAGCGCCAAGCCAGTTGGCTAGAATAATTCCCCCAAGAGTGCTCTCCTCACTCTCTCGGATACTTCTAGTTTTCTCTCACTTTGGGGGAACTTTTTGACCCAGCGTAGGGGGCTGGCGGAGGCTCCTGAGCCCAGGCGTCGAGGCGAGGGATGCCCCAAACCCGAGGAGCCTGGCGCTGAAGGGAGGAGAGCGCTCTCCTCGCGATGCCCAGGAGAAGCTCCCGCTGCCGCCGACAGAAGCCGCTCCTCCCGTGGAGGAAACGAGACGAAGCAACGGGAGTCCGAAGAGCAGCGTGAAGGAGGAGAAAGTGGAGGAAAGACCCGCCCGCGTCGCTCCTTCTCCGACGAAGAAGAGGAAAGGAAGGAGCGGCAGTCCGGTTGAGACCTGTGGCAGTCCCTTCCCCTCCCTCTCCATCGCTTCACCGGGACGTTTTGCTGCGAGGAAAGGGCTTGCTGGACTTGACTAGACTGGACTCTCCCTCTTGAGGACATTGGGCTTCTTTTTGCTCGTGTGGACACTTTCTTTTAGCGTCTCGAGGAAGAGTCCCTCCTTTTGGAGTCCAACGGAGATGCTGGCGGCTCTGGAGAGACCGGCGGCCTCACCTGGGCGCCTCAGGGGATGAGGCCACATTTAGGGGACTTTGGGCTCATCCGGAGCTGCTCCCTTCCACCTTGGCTTGGATTTGGGCATTGCCTCACTTGCCTCACCTGCGCCATGGCCCCCCTGGGGATGGGCGACAAGGCCTCCTCTGCCTGGCTCACAGGCCTGGCCTTGCTTTTGCTGTTGCCACCTTCCTCAGCGGAACCCAGGCAGATCTTCCGAGTTTTGGAGGAGCAGCCCCCAGGCACCTGGGTGGGCACCATCGCCACCCGTCCGGGCTTCACCTACCGCTTGAGTGAGCACCATGCTCTCTTCTCCATCAACGCCACCTCGGGAGACCTTCACACTCGTGCCATCATTGATCGGGAGAGCCTGCCCACTGATGTGGTGGACTTGGTGGTGCTCTCCAGCCAGCCCACCTATCCCAGCGAAGTACGCATCGTGGTGCTGGACCTCAATGACAATGCGCCCATCTTCCCTGACCCTTCCATCATGGTGACGTTCAAGGAGGACACGGGCAGCGGCCGACAGCTGATCCTGGACACGGCGACCGATGCGGACAGCGGGACAAACGGCGTGGACCACAGCTCTTACCGCATTGTGGGGGGCAATGAAGGAGGCCGCTTCCGGCTCAACATCACGCTCAATCCCAGTGGGGAAGGGGCTTTCTTGCACTTGGTCTCACGGGGTGGGCTGGACCGAGAGGCCACACCTGCCTACCAGCTGCTCTTGCAAGTGGAGGACAAAGGGGAGCCGCGGAAGCGTGGATACTTACAAGTCAATGTCACGGTGCAGGATATCAATGACAACCCCCCTGTTTTTAGTCAGACCCTCTATCAAGCCCGAGTGCCAGAGGATGCACCTGTCGGAGCCAGTGTTCTGCAGGTGACAGCGGCAGATGCTGATGAGGGCACTAACGCCGACATCCGCTATCGTCTGGAGGGAGCAGATAATGTTGGTGTTGATGGAGCTGGAGCTCTTCCTTTTGAAGTGGACCCAGAAAGCGGGGTTATCCGTATCCGGGAGGCATTGGACTATGAGTTACGACGGCAGTACTCTCTAACAGTTCAGGCTATTGATCGAGGAGTGCCAGCTTTAAGTGGCCGTGCTGAGGCTCTGATCCGTTTGCTGGATGTGAACGATAATGAGCCACGGGTCAAATTCCGCTACTTCCCAGCCACATCCCGCTTTGCCTCGGTAGATGAGAACGCGGCACCTGGCACAGTGGTGGCATTGTTGACTGTCAGCGATGCTGATTCACCAGCAGCCAATGGGAATATTTCTGTGGCCATCTTGGGTGGGAATGAACAGCGCCATTTTGAGGTTCAGAGCAGCAAAGTGCCCAACCTCAGCCTTATCAAAGTGGCAGCTGCTCTTGACCGGGAACGCATACCCACCTATAACCTTACTGTGGCTGTGACTGACAACTTTGGGGCTCCTGCACCATCACCAGGGCCAGTCCCTTCTTCTCTGAGCCCTGATGGAGCTGTTTCTGCTCCAGTAAGCCGCTCCTCTGTAGCTAGCCTGGTGATCTTTGTAAATGATATCAATGATCACCCACCTGTCTTTGGACAGTCAGTGTATCAAGTGAATATCAGTGAAGAGGTGCCACCTGGCAGCTATGTAGAAGGCCTGAGTGCTACAGATCGGGACTCGGGTCTTAACGCCAACCTCAAGTACAGCATAGTTTCTGGCAATGACCTGGGCTGGTTCTGTATTAGTGAGCACAGTGGCCTAGTCACTACCACCAAAAGCCCAGATACTCCCATGGCCAGAGCTCTGCTGGGTGAATCTAGTCCAAGTATAACAGCATCTGGTGGGCTGGATCGAGAAATAGCTTCACATGTGGTGCTGAACATCAGTGCCCGAGACCAAGGTGTGCAGCCCAAAATTTCCTATGCACAGTTGGAAGTGAATATCCTGGATGTTAATGATGAGAGGCCCCGATTTAGCCAGCCAGATGGTTATCATGTGTCTGTGGCAGAAAATTCCCCTTCAGGGACTGAATTGCTAGTCCTAACTGCTATTGATGGTGACTTGGGAGATAATGGGACTGTGCGCTTCTCTTTGCAAGAAACTGAGCCAGGGGTGTTGGCAGGTGGCCCTTTGGTTGCTCCATGGAGGATATTTCGCTTGGATCCTGTATCAGGAAGGCTCAGTACAATTTCACAGCTAGACAGGGAGGAACAGGGACACTACTCACTGCAAGTCTTGGCCACTGATTTGGGCTATCCTGCCTTATCCTCAGTGGTTCAGGTCAATGTGAGCTTGCTTGATGTAAATGATAACAGCCCCTTATTTTATCCTGTCCAATATTTTGCCCATATCCAAGAAAATGAACCTGCAGGCAGCTATGTTGCCACTGTGTCTGCCAGCGACCCTGACCTTGGTATCAATGGGACAGTCAGGTTCACCATCTCGGCAGGTGACACCTCCAGGTTTCAGATTCATAATCAGACTGGGGTTATCACTACCAAAACAGTCCTGGATAGAGAGGAGAAGACTGCTTACCAACTACAAATAGGTGCCAGTGATGGTGGTAACCTGCAATCACAAAACCAGGCCATAGTTACAGTCAATGTCTTGGATACTCAGGATAATCCTCCAGTGTTTAGTCAGGATACCTACAGTTTTGTGGTGTTTGAAAATGTTGCCTTGGATTACCATGTAGGCAGTGTTTCCGCTTCCACTATGGATCTCAACACCAACATCACTTACCTTATCACAATGGGTGACCAAAGGGGTATGTTTGAAATTAACAAAGTGACTGGCCTGATCACCACAGCTAGTGTTATTGATAGGGAAGAGCAGGCATTTTACCAGCTGAAAGTTGTGGCAAGCGGTGGAGCAATCGCAGGGGATGCTTTGGTCAATATAACTGTCAGAGATTTAAATGACAATTCCCCCCATTTTCTGCATGCAGTGGAAAGTGTGAATGTGGTTGAGAACTGGAGTACTGGGCATACCATATTCCAAGCTAAAGCTGTTGATCCTGATGAAGGTATTAATGGCATGGTCCTTTACAGCCTGAAACAGAATCCAAAGGACCTATTTAATGTCAATGAGCAAAGTGGTGCCATCAGTTTGACAGGGCCTCTGGACATAAATGCTGGGTCTTATCAAGTGGAGATTATGGCTTCTGACTTGGGAGTTCCTAGGCGCTCCTCTAGCTTTATTTTAACTGTTTCTGTTCATGATGTAAATGACAACTCACCAGTGTTTGACCAACTGTCCTATGAAGTCACAATTTCTGAACTGGAGCCTGTGAACTCCAGATTTTTTAGTGTGCATGCTTCTGACAAAGATTCAGGTGAAAACGGAGAAATAGCTTATAACATAATCGAGGGAAACACTGGAGATGCCTTTGGCATTTTTCCAGATGGTCAGCTATATATAAAAAGTGAACTGGACCGTGAACTTCAAGAAAGATACACATTAGTAGTTGCAGCTTCTGATAGAGCAGTCGAACCTCTCAGTGCCACTGTAAATGTCAGTGTAATTCTAGAAGATGTAAATGATAATAGACCACTGTTTAATAGTACCAATTATGTTTTTTATTATGAAGAGGAACAAGTTGGTGGTTCATTTGTGGGTAAAATTAGTGCTTTTGACAAAGACTCTGGATCTAATGGTGAAGTCAGATACTCATTTGAGCACATGCAGCCTGACTTTGAATTGAATGCAATCAGTGGAGAGATAAAGAGTACTCATCAGTTGGACAGAGAATCCCTCATGAGGCAAAGGGGAACTGCTGTGTTTACATTTACAGTTATTGCAATGGATCAGGGGTTGCCAAAGCCTTTAATGGATCAAGCAACAGTTCAGGTTTACTTGAAGGATATAAATGACAATGTGCCAAAGTTTTTAAAAGAACTTTATCAAGCTACAGTATCAGAGTTAGCTGCAAACCTGACACAGGTTTTAAGGGTTTCTGCTTCAGATGTTGATGAAGGTAAGAACGGACTGATCCACTATTCTGTAATTAAGGGCAATGAAGAAAAGCAATTTACAATAGATAACAGCACAGGCCAGGTGACTTTGATTGGCAAACTGGATCACGAAGCTACTGCATCTTACTCACTCACCATCCAGGCAGTAGATTCTGGAGCAGTTTCCCTCAGCTCAGTGTGTACATTGAACATTGAAGTTCTGGATGAAAATGACAACACTCCTTCCTTCCCCAAATCAACTTTATTTGTTGATGTCTTGGAAAACATGAGAATTGGGGAACTGGTCTCTTCTGTCACTGCCACTGATTCTGATTCGGGGGACAATGCAGACCTTCACTACAGTATTACAGGGACAAATAATCATGGAACATTTAGCATCAGTCCCAATACTGGCAGCATTTTCCTTGCCAAAGCATTGGATTTTGAAACACAGTCAATGTACAAACTTAACATAACAGCAAAAGACAAAGGAAGGCCTCCTCAGTCTTCTACCATGTCCGTTGTAATATATGTCAGGGATTATAATGACAACCCACCTAAGTTCCCACCTGGGGACATTTTCAAGTCCATTGTTGAGAACATTCCTGTTGGGAGTTCTGTCATTTCTGTAACAGCTCATGATCCAGATGCAGATATTAATGGGCAATTAGTATATACAATCATTCAGCAGATGCCAAGGGGGAACCATTTCCAAATAGATGAAGTCAAAGGAACAATATATACCAGTGCTGAAATAGACCGGGAATTTGCTAATCTCTTTGAATTGACAGTGAAAGCCATTGACCAGGCTGTCCCTGTAGAATCTAGAAGATTTGCTTTGAAGAATGTGACCATTCTAGTAACTGACCAGAATGACAATGTCCCTGCTTTTGTTTCACAAAATGCTCTTGCTGCCGACCCCTCTGTCATGATTGGTACAGTCCTAACTACTATTGTTGCTGCTGATCCTGATGAAGGGGCAAATGGGGAGGTTGAATATGAAATAATCAATGGAGACAGAGACATCTTCATTGTGGATCGCTACAGTGGAGAACTGAGAGTGTCATCGCCTTTAGTACCATCACAGCTCATGTACACATTTATAGTTTCAGCCACTGATCTTGGTGCTGAGAGGAGGAAGTCAACCACGGAGATGACTGTACTTCTACAAGGACTTGAGGGGCCTGTTTTTACTCAGCCAAAGTATATTACCATTTTGAAAGAAGGTGAACCAATTGGGACAAATGTGATATCGATAGAAGCAGCTAGTCCTAGAGCGAATGAAGGTCCTGTGGAGTATTTCATAGTCTCAGTGCGTTGTGAAGACAAGATGTTTGGTCGACTCTTTACCATTGGTCGCCATACTGGTGTGATCCAGACAGCTGCTATTTTGGATAGAGAACAAGGAGCACGGCTATATCTCGTGGAGGTTTATGCCATTGAAAAGTCTGCTGCATCGCCACGAACCCAAAAAGCAGAGGTACAGTTTTACCATTTAATTCTTTCTTACTTTTCAGTTCTATTATTTTAGGTTCCATCCTTTACATGGGACTGAGTGCTAATGATGTCAATGTAACTTCTGAGTAGACTGGCATAGGACTATACTGTGAATATTTTAAGTAATCAGTGATTTTACAGGTGCCAAGGTATTTTACATTGTTTTATTTTTTTGGTTCAGTGTTCAAACATAACTTTTGGAAATATATGTCAGTGTTGTCTTCTGGTAGATCAGAATAACACATAGCATTGTTGTTTTTGCCTGGTACTAGTTAGTTGGTCAACATGCAACATGATTGTCCATTCTATTTGTTTGGCAGAAATTGTTATTAACTAATTAACTTCAACTATGATTTGTTTCACACCTGGAATTTTCTCAATACAAGAAAAATGCCATATGTGAATGGGCCTCATCTTATGTCTGATCATTTCAGTTTGTTTAACTTGCTGTGTAAAATATGTACTTTTTGCTAGTTGTAACAGAAAGTGAATTTATTTTAATATTATAATCACTGTACAAAACTAGAATGTCTGGAGAAAGATCAGGAAACAGGTTCATTTTCCAAAGAAGTTTACCTTAACCTGTCAATACTTTTGTTTGTTTCTATTAATCTACTTTTCTATTGCTTCTATTTTCAAGTCTCCATCTAAAGATTCAGAGATGTTAGATTTTTACAGAAGCCAAATGATTCTGTTCTTAGTGATATAAAGTAAATAGATTCCAAAACATTAGTCATGGCATCAGAAAATATATGTTTGGTTCTTGTTTTGTTAAAGTGTATTCTGCTGCATGATCTTTCATGCACTAGAGTGGCTTTCAGAAACGTTATTTGGAAACAACTAAGTCAGCCAAGGTGGGGTGTTTCTTTTTTCCTTTTTGCATTGTTCAGATCCTGATTTCTGTGTTGAGTCATTTTTTTGATCACTGCTAATGTAGAGCAAAATCTTTTCAACCAGCAGGGGATGCCGGAAGTGTTGAATGAGTCAAACATTTCCCTCGTGGTCTAAACAGTTTAGCTTTGAAACTGAACATGACTGTATGATGCAAGGATTTCTCTCAAATACTGAAACAGTAATACAGTAGTCTTATGCACACATACTTTGGAATAACATCTGAGTAAACATGAACAGAATTGATCTGCACAAATGGCATAGTATGTGAATATTTGCTACAACCTATACACTTTATACTGCTTCCAAAATATGTTTTGGAATGAGTTGGGATTATGATATTTGAAAACCATGCAATTCTAACACACTAGAAACTCTTTTAATACATTGTACTTGCATTGACTTATTTGGGAGTGATGTGTTTGAGTTGAATTGTAGTTTTGTGGAGTAAATGGCATAGCATGTGTCATTTCCATTTATTTTGTTTTACAGAATGAGTTGAGGTTGGAACAAATTATAACTGAATGAAGATTGGGTACAAATAGATAAAGTAGTATTATTCAATGTTATGATTTTGTACATTCTTTAGCAACAACAGTAATGAATTTGACTACTTCAAAAATTTAACCAGTTGCTCTGTTACAGTTGTATCTATTGCTATTGGGAGGAATCTAACTGAATTTCATACGTAACATAGTAATAAACTAACAATGGACACATATGGGCTGTACCTGCATCTTCAAGGGTGAAAGGATAAATGTGCGTTGTGTGAACCTTCATATATTCATGATTTGCAACTCTTTGCAACCATAGGCAATATAACCAGGGGTAGAGAATGCTGGGAGTTGCAATTTGACAACATCTGGAACATAAAGTGATTCCTACTCCTTATCTATAGGTTCACCCATTTAATCCAGAAAAGATGAAACAAAATGTTCTTCATATTTTAATATTGCTTGCAGTCTGCCTCCTTAATCAGAAGTATATTCCATTGGTCTTGGTGTGTGTGTGTTTTAACTAGACTTATAAATGATTGGGGAAGATAAGCATGGGTTGAAGTATCAGCCAGCATAATATTGTGACCTGAGTGTTGCGCTAGGACTTTAGGAGACTAGATTTTGAATATACAGCTGCTGAAATGCAGAAATCCACTGGGTGATGTTGTACTCTCTAAGTTATACTCTCTAAGGGGGCACCAACACCATAGAATTAATGCAGTTTGACATCAGTTTAACTGCCATGGCTCAATGCTGTGGAATCATGGGATTTATAGTTTGGTGAGGCATCAGCACCTTTTGGCAGAGAAGGCTAATAATCTTGGAAAACTATAGCTCCCAGGATTCCATGGCATTGAACCATGAGTTAAAGTTGTGCCAAACTCTCTTAATTGTATAATGTAGATGCACTCTAAGCCATATATGAAGGCAGTGGGAAGCCTCCTCTGAAAAACAAATTGCTGAAAGCGTTGGTGTTTACTTGGAAGGCACATAACAACAACAACAACAACAACAATGACAACAACAGACTTGAAGTTCTGGTTAGCCTTGCTTATTCTGGCTGAATCTGCACTGCCGTATATCCAAGGATCTGGACCCAGATTATCTGCTTTGAACTGGAGTCTCCACCACCATATAATCTGAGATGAATTAATCTGAGATCAGATCTTGGGATATATGGAGGTGTAGCAGGGACCTCTGATAATCAGAATAGAGTAGTTATTATAAAAATATTTCCTAGCAGGAGATTTTACTATACAGCCAGGTATACCTCAGTTAAATCAAGTACAGTAAGTTCATTCTTGATCATACTTCGTTAACAGGAAATTTGATACCTGAATCAAAAATAATAGGGAAAGAATAGGGAAAGGATCCTTTACAACAAAAGAGGCACAGTTAATCATATTTCAACAAACATTTTACCCCAAACTGACATGCATGAGTGGAATTAAATAAGTTAAGGTAAAGGTTTTCCCCTATCTTTAGACATGTCCGACTCTGGTGCTCATCTCCATTTCTAAGACAAAGAGCTGGTGTTGTCCATAGATGTTTCCTAGGTCATGTGGCCAGCATGACTGCATGGAGCTCTGTTACCTTCCTGCTGAAGCGGTACCTATTGATCTACTCACATTAGCATGTTTTTGAATTGCTGGGTTGGTAGAAGCTGGCGCTAATAGCAGGAGCTCATACTGCTCCCCAGATTTGAACCTCTGACCTTTTGGTCAGCAAGTTCAGCAGCTCAGCGGTTTAACCCTCTGTGTCACCAGGTTTAATTCCTTTAATTTAAACTGTCCATAAGTAAACATTTTTTTTACCTTTAGAGACTGCTTGTAGGCTTTTCCCAAAATACATATATGAATTATTTTTTGCACCAGCCCCCATTTATGATTTCTGTTTTAGTCTGTATATCTATTGCTCCTCTGCCTAGTGTTAAAATAGTAACCCCCCCCCCCCTTTAAAATCTGCATGACTGTTAGAAGTTTCAGCAGTTACATCTAATCTCATAAACAGAAAAGGTTTTGCCTAGGGAAATTCTTCCTAGCATGCTGCCTCCAGATGTCTATGACAAAACAGTGACAACATTTTCTGTGCTGTTGTTTTCAAGAAATAATTCATACTCTTATGACACCAATCTTGAACCTGAGAACCTGTATTTTTCATGCCAGGGTTTAGCTTTGAACATTGTTACAACATATTTAACTTCTTCTGAACAGAAGCAAGAAGAATCCTACCAGAAATGTCACAGTCCAGTTCTGCAAGTTGGCATTGGCATTGATCTCTATCAAAGGATTTTGCCAGTTTACAGACATTCATGGTCAGTGAGATGAACAACTGGGACTTCTCTTTGCCATAAATTGATGGTACTTTATTGAGACAAAGCACTATCAACTAATATGTTTACTGTTTTGTGTCTATTAACCCTTGCAGAAGTTTACTTCTTGAGACATGAAATACAGATATCGCCAGAACGTAGGAATATAACATTATATCTCCCCTTTTCAATCTCTGGCCTTATCATGTGAATACTGTCCCAAGTAACCTACTCTTCACCTTGAATATTCTACTCTTTTCCCAACAATGTCTTGGCCATGACCAGGATGCACTGTACATTTAAAAATGTCAAAAAACATTGCACAAAGATGTACTTAAGATTAACATTTCACTCAAAAACAGTTTGCTAAAATAAATAATGGATAGTTATTTATGAAATTTACATTTTTGTGTGTATGTAAGGGATCCTTTAGAGAACATAACAAGATTTCAAGTGAAAGGTATTGGTTGGAATGTTGCTAAACATTCCACAGGTTGGCCATCTTTCTTTCTGCAAAATGTTTTGTTTGATTTTTTACACATCCCACTGTTGTAGAGTCCAGTCCTGCTCCATTATGTGGTATGCAAAATCATTAATTTTGAAAATATTTATAATCCTATATGCAGGATTATAACCATATGTCCTAATCCAGAAAACATGATATATAAGGGGAAAAAAGGTTTCCAGTTTTAAGAAGTCTAGCTTGTACAATGGAAAGAGAAGAAATAAATTAAATTTAGGAGTGACCATGCTGTGTAAAATAGGTTATGTAATGATTTATTCCTGTATATGCATTTGTCATTCAGGTTTATGAACGTAATTACTTTCTCTTGGTTATCTTCATGAAGTCAATATATTTTTTATGAAAACTCAGTAGAAGATTATTAAGATACCTGGCTGGAAGATACCTTTGTACAATCTAAGATTGATGTTTTCCTTGGAGTTTTTATATAATAGTTTAGGCTTCCTGGTGATTTTCCTTTCTTCTAGTTTTTCTTTTTTTCCACTGTTGTTTTTGTAATTTATCATGAAAGCTCATGCTGTCTAAATGATGGATACTACCACCAGAAAAGGGATTTTTAGTCTTTTGAATCGGTATTTCCTGGTTTGCCTTTTCATAGGTTCCTAATTGGGTCCCCAGATGCAGTTTTCTCCTTGAGAATACAGAATGATAATGTTTTGTTGTTTTGTGGAGCTGGAGAAGTTGTTTCCCTCCAGATGTTGCTGAGATGCAGCTCCTGTCAGCTCTGGAACATCTACACTGTAGAACTAATGCAATTTGAC